AAAACAAAGGCGCGAGAGGGACAGAAACTAAGCGACTTGTTCCAACGCCCGTGAGGAAATTTTATTGCGCCGTCAGCTGCCAGTCCTGGGCTGTCAAATCGCGCGTGCATTTTTAGAGCGTTTACGAGACTACTGCCATATTACTTTTCCGTACGATCTACGTTCGACAATACCTTTATTACCAGGTATTTCCAGTCGTTACTTACGCGCTTCCTTGACTTTGACAATAACATTTAATTCCAAATAAATGACATAAACCTTTATATTTTACTTTAAATATACAAATGCACGTGTGAATGTCGATTGCGAGTTTACTGTTTTTTATTTTTCTTATATTTAGAAGGGACGAGCCTACAATGCAATTGCTGTCGAGCAATAGGTCTGGAAATATACGCGATCTAGTTACCTCTTGAGAATTTACTCGCTCACTGTCGTAGATTAGGCTAGCCATCGTCAATTATGCTACTTAGCTCTGCTCGAAATTCAATTAACGTCGTCGCAACAAGAATTTTACCGTTAATCTTCTCGCCGTCATTGAACGGCACGCGGAAATTTCAGATACAAACGTTAGCTTACACATTTTTACTCGTCAAATTGACAACAAAAACAAGTTCTGGACTCGAAATACGAAAGAAGTTTGTCTGGCGCAAAGCACTCTTGTCCCGTAGTTATGTGGCAGGGAGCTACGACGTAAAAGTCAAACAAACGTGCGTTGTAAAAAAGTGTTTTTTATTTTTCCCAACTATATTCTATAGAGTAGGTGCAGAGCACGATGCTTTTTTTCTCCTCTTTTAACGAGCACTTATGCGCGACCGAAGCCACGTAGTGGCGTTTCAATTGGAGCGCCACTTTGAAAGTGCTTTTGCGATAACTAATGGCGCGAGGATATATTTGTCCGAGGATAGAACGACGAGAGTGTCACGCTGCAGCAGCAGAGCGTAGGCAAGAAACAAAAGAACGCGGCTGTGACACACTTGCCTTATCGACACCAGGCTCTTAGGTCCATCAAGTCGAACGTCTCCTCGCTTGGCAGCAAACATGCCGTTGAGCGACGTCAAAGTTTTTGGGAACTAGTTTTTTTTTTCTCCACCGGTCACTAATAGTCTCGTAAGCGTATGCTTTATCGGTCAGTCCACTCTTCGAAAGGAAAAATCTATGAGACTTTACGAGCACGATTGATCGACGCAAAGCAATCGTCACAGGTAGGCAGTAACGTATTGTACATAGCCATCGTCACGGAGAGAGCTACAATGCGGCAAGCTACGAGCAATAAAATGTCATAATCCTACGGCGAGCGCGCACCAGTCGGAAATAGCTTGCATTTAATCCTCTCGCTGAGCTTGATCGATCAGTCGATGCATTTTTTGTCTGCGTGTGAAATGTCGCTGCGTTCCGTATCGCGCTCCTTCTCTCTCTCTCTCTCTCTCTCTCTCTCTCTCTCTCTCTCTCTCTCTCTCAGCCCCCGAGGCGGCGATATTACTAACCCAGTTCAGGTCTAGTCGGCGAAAGTCATCGTCTCTAGCCCAGACGTACAGCAGTAGGCCCCGTAAATCAGTATATTTTCGTATCGCGGAAGTGGACCCTCGCGAGTATTTATACGAGCAGCTTGCGCGCACAATGACAGCCGCTTCATTGTAAGCTCCAGAGACGCGGCTTCGCAGCTTAGCGCTGCGCCCATATAAACCGACGGGCTTCTTGATTGTTCGCCAAGACGTTGATTTTCTATTTGCACCAGCCAACGACAACTGTAAATTCGGAGATCGAGTTTCCAGCTGTAATCGAATAAGATTCTCCATCTTCAGAGAGAAAGAGACTTTGGATGCGTTAAACTGAGAGCTATTCGAAAGCAGTAGTTTCTGTTTGTACGCGTGCCGTGAAACTTACAAGTCACGTATACGTGATCGTTCGAAAATTTCTTTATCAAATTCAATTTTCGTTAGAACCGAAAGTATCTTATCAATATTTATAACAGAATATCGCAGTTTGGCGAGGTTGAAAGTGGAAAACATCCAACCAAAAGTTAATTACCTCTTCGATACTTCGTACTTGCGTTCATATTAACGATACAGATTTCTCATGAGTGAATAAAGAATGAAAAGGTCGTAGTCATTGTCGAAAGTTTTCAAATGATTTTCTCTCTTATGTGTACATTGATCTGTATTATCGAGTTCATAGAACGTACCCGATTCATTTAGATCCCGTTATAAATATTCTTTAAACGCTTTCGATTAATGTTAATACTTCTCTTCAACGGTAGTCCACATTTCACACCACGTACCGTCTACTAATATCTTCAATGTAATTGAAAGCAATTCTTTCTCCACTGGTATCGTGAAAAGACCGTGTATAAAATGTATTTTTTAACAATGTCGAATTTCTCCTGAGATATACTTTTATCGCAATCAGATTCACGCTGCGCGCCACGTAATAAATTGCTCTCGCGTGCAATGTAAACATGCCGGTACTCTTATATACGCATTCACGTCCCAGCATTTCGAATCTTACCATGCATAAGCGTTGAAATATAGAAACGTCGAACCGGCGATCACATAAGAGATTGACTAACTTCTTTTAATGATACTTCAAACAACAAGATGAAATTCATCCGAGTGTGTTTGTCGAGATTTAACATACCCTCGTTTAGTGCAATATGGGGCTAAAGAATTTATCCGAGTGATAAACATACTTTAATAATAGCGAAATGAGTGTTCCTTGCAAGTCCCTATATGCACTGACAATGGGGACTTTAGAAAGTCTTAAAAAATATCTCGGCCATTTGGAGTCTTAAGGTATTTTTCTTTTAATTTCCTCGAGTCTCGGAGGAGCATTTTCGTGCGAACGGATGCATTGATTTTATACATACTAGCTGAAATCACAATGATCCATTTATATGTGAGAGTGATGTGAGAGCTAGTGTGGATTATAAGTGTCAGAATTGGAGGAGACCAACGGCGTTTTTGTACGTAATACTTTGCTTTCATTCGGATAAAGGATACGAAATGGAGACAATACTTCAGATGGTTCACCCATTGGAAAGACTGATTAATACGAATATTTCAAGCACATATGCGTGATATAAGTGTAAGTAAGTGTAGAACTTGTACGTTACAGCCAATATTCCAATTAATTTGATAGCTCGATCGGAGAGTAAAAGAAATTGTGTCGGTCGTGAAGCAGCATTTGGGACAATTACCTGTTGATTGAATTACATACACGAGAGTCGTAAAATCAACGAGTCGTTGTTACACATAAATTAACGTACGAGGTATGAAAATTTATTATATTTGTTAGAAAAAGTCGAAACGTCTTATTATGTTAATAGAAAACCGAGGTACTTTTAGATGATAGCAAGTAGATTTATTAAAACAAAAATTTTGCAGGCTTGTAGCGATTAGGGTGTAGGGTTTCTTTGCTAACTGTTTTTTGTAGGATCTCGATGAAGCGAGAGAGTTAAATTGAGCGAGTAACGAAACGGCGCCCATAAGAGTAATTAGCGCACACCGTGATAACGGGTAGTCATAAATCGCCGCGACCTTGCGGGACTACCGTCGCGTTAACTGTCGTGCGCCTGCTTTTCCTCTTGCGGATCTGGATGAAATATCCCTTCAAGAGGAATGAAAAATATTGAGAAGATGCACTAACATCGATAGACAGTTCGTCATATTCAATCGCTAATCGTCTGTGTAAAGCACAATTTGATGGTGTCATTAAATATACAATAGACATGTAATTTACTATATTAATGTTCGTATCGGCCAACTTCCATAGGTTCATTTGATTTAGTCAATTGTAAGCGCGCTGTTACTATCGCGAATAAGCTTGTAAGAATAATCATAGCATAAACTGAGAATAACATCGATTCTCAACGGACGGTTAGCGGAAGGTTACACGTGCGCACCCATGCAATATGCCAAAAGCTCAATCGACATCCAGTAAAGTTGTCGGTAAATCGTGGATACTAAAAGTCGAGAGTTATCTCAATCCATAGCGCAAATCTCGATAGCTCGCGTATGCGCGTCCCATTGAAGTTTTATCGGTTTCCGATTGAAGCCCCTCGCCCGCACGATAGACTCGCAACAGCGATTCAAAGAGAATAACGAGAAAGCATTCTAGGAAGTGCGATGCCTCGGCGATCAATGCACTTGACTTCCGTCTGAGATTTGAGCCACTTGAGATAGAGAGAGAGAGAGAGAGATCAACTCGTCTGCGGCCTAGCTAACTGGATTTCTGGGAGGTCCTTGTCCTACTGCACACTGCACTGTGCACACACATCTGAACATCAACGTGACCAAAGATCAAGCTATGTTAACTGCTCCAAAAACAAGATATTCACGTGAGCTGTCCAGACGGCGATACTTTGCTGACATTACTTTTCCAGTCGTTGCTTCATTCTAATTTTTATGAATGACAGTTTGTTTTACAATTCGTAATTATTCTACTTGGTATAAATAGCACTGCAAGTGTATGAGTTGTCATAGTTGAGTGAGTCATATGGCAATCGTTACATTGAGCTTTCTATATTAAATTAATAATTCATTAAAAAGTTTGATCTTGACTCTAAATTTCAAGAAAAATTGTCTTTTTTCGAGAGAAATAAATGTTGAAAAAAGTTAATTTAGAAAGCCACGTATTACCATATCAACATATGTTTATCCGTTGAATAGCGACATGACGCAAGCCTTTGAGCAGTTCTCTTAATAATTGTGATAACCCTATAATTTTCCAGTTGTTACGCTTACGTATCTGAATACGCGTAAGCTTATTTAATATTTTCCGCAACTCCCAATACTAAATAAGAGGATAGTAGTCACGACTTGATTGTTACTTTCGTATTTCTAATAATTGCAATGGTTTTCAACTCTGACAGCTTAATAGCTATATGAATCGCACAATTGACTGACTTGTTTATATGATAAAATATTTGACTTGGATGTTGCAGTATTGGGCGAACTCGGTTGGTAAGCCTAAAGATATAATTGTTGTGCTATAGCTAAACTCACGTAGAAATAAAGCTCCACTCGTTCAACACGCTTGGCTTCGCAGGTGTACGCTTCGGACCTGCAGCAGCCAGTGTCGTCGGAGCATCTGTGCAGCATTGCGCAATGGGGATTGTACACGAGCGTCGAGTTCGGGTAGATCTCCCTCACAGGAATCACCTTGATGCGAGGCCACTGACAGCTACCCTCAGTCTGAACGCGCTGAATGTGGCTACGTGCTGCAAACGCTTCGGCCGCTGCAAATCAAAACATTTACCGGGATCTATTAATAATGTTTGCCGACTTTGGCAAGTATAAAGCGCCAATATTCAAACAACTCGAAAGCTGTGTACACATTTTTAAATTACGATGAAGTAGTAGGTGAGGAGCAGCAATGTTGCCGTTTGTTTGTTTAAAGCCGATCATTGCAATGATAAGTCACACTGTGGTGTGCATCTATAAAAGTTATTCTTAACGCGTTTATACTAATAAAAAATTCCATTTGAAGTCGAAAATGGAAGAGTTTTGTATAATTTTGAAAAATGTACCAATAAATAAAATTATACCCATCATCATTATGCTAGAGTATTTTAGTAACTTCAAAAGATGCGACTCCTTCGTTGTCCGTGCGTCTACGTGGGTAGCGAAACACGAAAAATATACGGCGGAAATCATAATTGAAGTGCAAGACAATATAAATGAAGGTAATTGTCCGTTAGCCCTCGTGCTTGCACGATTTATGGCGCGTAAAATTTGTCGAGAACATAAAAGTTTTTATTTAAACATCCCCATAATTGTTTTTTTCTCTCTCTTTCTTGAAAAGAAAAAGAAAAAAAAATCATGTTTTACGCTTGCAATTACATCCAATTCGTGGTCGATATTTCTGACATGGACTCGCATCGCTGATCAAAAATAGACTAGCAAGTGAGTAATAGAAAAGAAAGGTTCGCGTAGTGTTAAGCCCTTGGAAGCGTTCACGATGATTGTTCCAACTGCCAAGTGAATTGGATTAGTGTCGGCTAATGCATCAAAGAGAGACCTTTGATAGGTGCATCGGACGAGGATGCGCGCGCAGATAATGGTATGGACGCGCATAATACTCGCGAGCTTACTTGGAGGGACGACTCGATCGCGCATTCGAGAGGCGGCGTGCGCACGCCTCGCGACTAATTGCGCGCGATACAACTTCATCGGACCACCGAGCGCGAGTCATAAAGGCCCAGATTGCCCATTCTTTCTCTTCTACCATATTATATGCGCTAAGTACTTTGCTAAGGATTGGCTCTTTGTGCAGTCTCTCACCTTCATCCCGGACTCTCGTGTCCATACTTACGCTACCATTGCATTTCGATTACGAAATTTAAATTAATTAAAAAGCCGAGGCGTAATAACAGTTATTTCTTTTAATTTCCTTTCTCAAGCGTCTATCGTGATATCGAGCGCGCGGTCTTTCTCAACTCCGTCGATTCGATCGCACGAAGGCTATCCGGACGACGAAGCGTAACGGCATGCATACTCGTAATACAGTAAAGATCTGCCGAAGTGTAGGGACAGGCCGGCGGCGCGGCGTGAATTTTACAAACACACAGTTACGGCGGCGGGAAAGTGGGGAACAAAATCCGTTTTCATACTCACACCTGCTGAGCTTGCCGTAGTGCATCAAGCTGTTGCGTGTCTCCTTCACTGCCTCGCGCGTCCCGAGCTGCTGCCACTTGAGCGCGCTGTGAGACGACATCGGCGGGTACTCGTTCTTCTCTTGGTAGCCATTGTACTGCGAGCCCGTCGACGCCACCTCCTTGTGCTCGTAACGATTCGTCTTTACGAACCGTGGTGTCGTTGTTGTGGTCGTCGTCGTGGTTGTCGATGTCGTCGTGATCGTGGACGGCGTCGTGGGAGGACTTGCTGACGTTGTACTCGTAGTGGACGGCTCGACACTGCTGCCTTCTTCTTCGTCGTTTTCGTCCTCCAAGTAATCCTGCAACATCAAGTTTGCTTCGTCAGTGGGAATATCCTCAGACAATCTATGGAAAATTCAAGATAAGTAATAACGCCGTATTAACGCAGGGTTACTAGGCATTGAAAAATATGGTACTCTTTTAATAAGAAATCAATAGTTTTCAGCAAATCCGCTTGCGGCACCAAGAAGTCCTTTTCTAATGATAATACTAGATTTTCCTTGTCCCGCTCGGGTACGTTATTAAATGAAAATCTTGAGGTAAGAAGAGGCAGTCTGGCTTTGTAAATTCATATCTCGGATATTGGATTCTTTGAAGATATTCATAAAAAACGCATCTCAAATAAGGCATTGGACCAACACAGCCTCTGAGATAGCTGCGATCAATCGAATTGAAAGAACAAACTAGGATTCGGAAATCTCGAAGTAACTGCTTTGCTTATATTCAGCACATAAAAAATTCATGTTCTTTAAGTTATTCGGTATGTCTTCATGTTAATCTTGGAACAATATATGTCAGAACTGATTCAAGTACAACAATTTTATATATATATATATATATATATATATATATATATATATATATATTCTTTCCAAGAAGGAAGACCTCATCGTTCAATGCGCTTTCCTGATATTAAAAAAAAGGAGGAAACTACAGTTTGAGAAGCAAAGTGCCTTTCCCTTATGTCATTATCCCAAAAGTATTCATCCCTCGGACTCGCGTGGACACACACGCGAAGTTTTAATGTGAATGCGCGTCAGAAGCGTATAGAGGCGACAGGCAGCTGCCGTCATAAAATTCAGGATTTATGGGAGACCGTTCGTAAATATACGCTTTTGAGTTCAAGCTTCTATCGAATAAATCGCCTCGTTTACGAAGTGCATAAACATTTGAAAAAATCAAAACGGCGTGACCCAAATTTTTAATGCACTCGAATGAAGAAATAACGCGGTACATAAAGAACGTTTCCTTGTTTTTATACTCGGTTAGAAATGTATTGCTCAATAGATTTGATTATCTTTGGCTTACTGAGAAAACGATAATGAAAGATCGCTAATAGCACAATAAACTATTTGAAATAACACAATGTTAGTTTCTTATTTGGAATAAAATTGTTATGGTGGTATGGACACTATTGAAACAATATTAAAGCGGTATTGGCGATACTCATCCGGGTCAGTATATACTTAACTTACATAAGAAAGGTCATGGTATAATAAAGATCTATAGGGTATTTTCAGGAATAGACTATAACCTCGGCTCATTTTTCGCTGAAAAATATGTTTCCTGCAACATAAGCTTCCAAGTCGAAGCTTCGCATCGGAGTGCATAAGCCCGCATTCAATCTCTATCTTTTTGACACACCTTATCTCGTATCCGTTCCTTTTTTTTTAGCTATAGCAATCCGTGCCGCAATTCGTCGAGATGATCGCACTCTTAATCTACCTACATGATATAATTCTCACGTACAATGTCGATTTGAGCGCACTGGGAATTCTTTGAATTATTTATAAATAACTGCAATAAACTTTTACTGCTCGATGAATCCAAGGTTTAAGTTCAACAGCTTGTTACGTCAATTTAATTGACCATGTGTCTATCGACGCAATGAATGAAAATAACACACGTTAAAGTGAAAAACCAGAGAGCTCGCGCGAGTATAAAACTCGAAGTCGTCTCTGCTTACAGTATCAGGATTGGCAATCGAACCTATTGCTTTCACACGCTACTAGCAAAGCAAAGCTGTTGAGTGAGAACAAATAAGCAAATATGAAGAATGGGCCGATTCGTTTGGTTATGTACGTTCAAGTAAATAAGTTTGAAGGCTCTTGACGGCGCCGCCGCGAAAACTCAGATGCGCGCGTTCGTATAATGCGGGCAATTACTCGCGCGTAGAAGTAATAAATTGCGTGACATTGAAGCGAAACGCTAATTGAGCGACGATCGCGGTAAATCGCGCCAATAAATAGGTGAAACGTTGGTGCAGACGCGAGAACGTAATTTACTTATATTTGATTGCTCGTTTGGTTGTGTGCTATTTTCTTTGACATCTCAACACATCTCGTCGCCTTGCGCAACTTTTAGTTTTCTTTGTCCGGCTTATTGCTGATTTACTTGAAAAAAATGTATAATTCACGCGATAGCTGTAATAATTTTGGATTACTGGCGGATAGCGCAGAAACAACATAAATAAATAGCGCTACCAGGTAATTAAACGGTTTTTGATCCGCTTATAAATTTCTACTTGAATTCACGACGTGACTAATTGCAGTTGACAGTCTGAAAATTGAATCGAGCCTAATTTTCCCTGGTACAATAAGGAGAATCTTCGCTGTTTATTCATTCTTCAGTAACTATATAATCCACGTTGGCAATCACTGGTCAAACACAATCGGATCGTAAAGTATTGTCAAAACAGTGGCTTATCTTGGCTTCTGCATATTATTATTATTATTACGTTTTCACCGTGCCTTCGTGAGAAAAGTGAAAGTTTCTTTTTTACGTACATCAATTGTTTTACGGTACAGTTATTCGGACTTAAATTATGCGTATCGTAATTTTCGTTGGCTTCGTTCGGCTACGTCAATACGCACTGTCTTATAATAATTTCGATGTACATCTTAAGAACACGCTGCGTTCAATGTATGTATTAAAACGGTTCTTTTGGCATGCTTACGCGCTGATTTATTTCAGGTGACTTTTATAGATTGATGACTGTTTGCGCACGGACGACTTTATTATTAAATTTTTAAACGCACTTACTCATTTATCATCTTGTTTTAATCGTCGAAAAATTTTTCACTCTGCCCTTGTTGATTTCAGGTCATGCAACGTGCAATGAAGCTCTCAACTCGGATGGCAATTTTTATAAGTTGTTGATATTTTTCTTACCGCGCAAACTCTTAACGCGAATGAATAAAAGAGTGAGACGGCAGCTTTTAAAATAAATTGGCGAGCGTGCACAATCGCATTGGTGAGTCTTATGGTAACGTAGGGGCGTTCGGAGGATGCAAAACAAGCGGCGGCGGCGGCGGCGGCGGCGGCGTCGAATCGAATCCGCGAGGATAAGATATATATTTTTGGGTGGTCCCAGACGTGGACGGGTTGCAGGTCCGCTCTGTAATAATGGGCGGTAGTTCGCGAGGACCCAAAGTGAATACGGTCCTTAATGGCGCTCACGGCTGCTGCCGCTGCTGCTGCTGTTGCGGCTGACCACATAGTTAAGGTTCGCGTTAGGGAATTTTTATTTTTTATTTGGCGCGCGCGCTTGTGGTCCTTGCTCGCGCTGATTTGCCATAGCGCTCTATCAATTTGTGTAACCGTGTTTCCTCGGCACCTTTTTTCTCCTCTTGGCTCGACGCCAACCCTTCGCTCCAAGTGAGAAGTTCTTCATTTCGAACTCCAACGCGGGCCTGTAATTAACTTTTTTGTACACTTCGTCATTTTCGCCATACGCAAAATTCATTCCCATAACTGCGCCATATATTCCTTTATCTCTGTTTGGACGCCAGCTATGTGTTTAATCGCAATAACATAATCAATAACCAAAAAGATAATCTTGTTCACGAATTCTAATTTCACGTCAAATATCTCACGGCCAAGAGTATCGTGCACGAGCACATAGCTATCAATGCCGCTTTCTAGCAACAATTCATTTTACATTTAATCTCCTTCATATCCAATGGCGACGAGGGACAAAGCATCGACGATGGTGAATGTAAAAGAATAAGCTACGGAGAAGTTTCTCGAGGCTAAAGCGATCGCAGCCAGATGTAATTAAGAAATGTAACTGCCCACCCACTTTAAATTGGTCATTCGTTTGCGCCTGTCTTGAATCATGTAAATTTTCCCGTGTAATGGACTTCGGTGCGCCTTAAGGCTATGTATCGCTTCACATTGATACGCATAAGTGATTCGACTAAATATAATGCGACTAAATTTTTGCTTCTCGTAAAAATGTGTATAATAGTAAATTATTTAAATACATCTTGGATAGAAAGTACTGGTAATGAAGACAATTAATCGAAACACGATGATTTCATTTTCTTGGAACGCATCTTATGCGTAAGTACTATCATTTATGACTCATGCGCGATCTCAAAGTTAACAACAATTACATTTGATAATAACAAAACCTTATCGAGCCACAGGTCGAGCAGGAAAAGGGATACAAATGCTTTCTTGAAAACATGGAGATTTCAAAATCCATTCAGGCTAATCTCTCGTCAAAGCAATTGAGACATCTTTCACTCAATACATGCATTAAGGTCTGACTCGAAAAAGCTCAAGTGTAAAAGAGGAACTGACGCTCATGAGGTCGTTAAGGAAAGAAGCATCAATCTGTTGCCGGCAATTGCAAATCGCACGACATCTTCATCGTAAAAAAGTATCTAAGAAGTTGAAAGATATCGGCTTTCCGTGATGCGGCGATGCCGCGCGAGAAACCCGTACACGCAAAGTATTAAAACGTGTCGTTCTCAAAAGAAAGTTTCGAGCTACCGGGCTGTCTGCCTCCGTCGAAGTTTTTTTTCTCTTCTCGGCGATCGAATGCCTCTTCGTTCGGAGGCCGAAGCTGGGTGCTTGTACATCGCGAGAGAGCCTGAGAAATGACACGGTAACTGTTAAGATAGTGCAGGCTTGCGCAGTCGTGCAATAATCAAACTGTTCACCTCGAAAAGCGCAAGTGCGTTCTTTTCCGCGAAAAGGTGACGGCGGCCGTAAGGCAGATATGAAGCGCAGTTACTTGAAAGGGGATTCTCACTGTACACAGTGTATCATGGCTTATCAACTTTCTTTGATGTATCGGAAGACGGTAACGATGACCGCATGCTAAGCTTCTAGTTCAAAGAGAGCAACAAATAATTTCAAATAAACCTTGATAACTTTTAATTTATTATTGCTATCCATAATTATTATCAAAATGAGCGAGACTGTGAAATATTTAGATTGTTCTACTATTGAGAAATGAAATCGCACTTACGTATAGATCATCACGTAGTGTGTGGATGACGTGGGCAAGTTTTTCGAATAATTTGTGGAGATATTTTAATCGAGAGATTACGCGT